TAATTTTCCCCACCTGCTTCCAGCTATTTGTTCCTACACTTCAACGAAAATGTATTCAAGAGATTATCAACTCAGGGTCAGGACCCAGACTGCCCAGGTCCCAAACCCAGCTCCCTCTTACTAGCAGGTGACTAATGTGCTTTGTGTCTCACGCTCATCTTTAAAAGGAAAAAAAGCAGGACCTCTCCACAAAGCCATAAACGTATTTATTTAGTAAAACCCTCAGAATAATGTTAGCAATTAAGACTTAATTATTATCAACACTCATGCCCGAGGACACGTGCTACACATTCTCAGCTGAGGTGAACATCTCTGTAAAAGGAACAAGCCAAGTACCGCTCACGGAGAGCTTCGCTTTCAGTAGCCAAGAAGTCACGCCTTGCAGTTCTCTTTGAAAAGTCAGGCTGCGGAAAGAGAAAGCTGCGAAATAGCCCATGTCGCCGCCCTCAATGAAAGGTAAATGCTCCCCTCCCTTCACGGAGGATGGAAGCAACCCTCTCCTTCCCAAAAAGAGATCAGACGGCGTCCAGAATTATCCAGCGCCCTGCAGGGATCAGAGAGAAGGGCCAGGGCCACTGCAGCTCTGACCCCAAGCGGGGGACCTGACTGCTTCCCGGCAAATTAACAGTAACAAGAGATCTCTACTCATCGCGTTGCAGGAACTGTTTTAAAGCTTTCATTTTAACTACCTCGTTCAACTACCGAACAATTTTATTATAATAAGGTGCTCCTAAGATCCCCATTTTAAAGAACAGTAATGGGAGGTACAGGGAGATTAATAATACCCCAACGTTATCCTGTTACCTGGCCTCACGCGTGGGGTGGAGAGAGGCAGATGGAGGGGGCTCTCAGAGTCACGAAAACCCTAAAACCAGGCGAGACGGCACAAGACCAAGTTCCAAGCTCCCCCGGGCACGGAAGGACAGCCCCAAACACCACAAGGCTGCGCTGAGATCGCAAACCGCCGCCCTCGCACCTCCAAACCTCCACTCTCCGTCGAGACTTCTTTTCCCCTAAATCGATCACCAATTCGGCGAGGATCCAAAGCGTAGATCCAGGGAATTTAGATAGGCCTGCAAGATACGGAACTCCCCTAAACTACCACTGACAAAAACGGTGGTAACCTCACTCTCCTGGAGCGGAAGTGCCTGAGTCGCCTCAGAGCGTCTGGACTACACTTCCCAGAATTCCGTGGATCCCGCCTCTTGAGCAGAAGTCACTGTAACGCCGCAGAGCATTCGGACTACATTTCCCAGAATCCCCCGGTTCCCTCTGCTGTAGTAGAAGCGACTGCGACCCCACAGAGTCTGGAGCATAGTCTTGTGAATACTGAAGGAAAGACATCCATAGTGTCACCCTTCTAGGGAAGTTTCACGAGTACCCGGAGCTCCTTGACTACACTTACCGCAGTGCCCAAGTGGCACTAATCGATAATGTGTTTACTGTTAAAACTGAGAGTTGGGTCATTAGCTCTCCGTGAGTCCCCAAAAGAAAATATTTAATATGAAGCTATGCTCCAAAGAGTTAAAAAAAAAAAACCAGTGAGTAACAAATTCTTGAGCTTCCAGGATGGCAGATAAAAGAAACAACTTGCTGAAATGCTGAAACACCCTGAGCTTGTTAAAATAATACTGGCTGAAATTGGTTGCAACCAATATGGCCAACTTGAGTCTGCACAGAGTGAGACTGCTGTTGTCACAGCCCAAATTTCTGCTGCATGTTTCGGTCACCAGAAAAGAACCCAAACTCTGTAAAAGAATTTAAACAAATTTATTCTCAGCCGAATTATGTGCCACCACTGCCCAGAGAGCCACACCAAAGAAGCCTTGAGCAAATGGTCTTGCTGTGATTCGGTTACAGTTCGGAGACAGGAATTACATGTAAAATCATTAATCAATACATGGAAGCTGTACCTTGGTTTGG